GTAGAAAGGACGAGTAACCCAACGACCCATAAGAGGGTGGTACTCGAAGAAGAAGAGGTGTTGGGGTTCCAACTTCAAAGGAGGGGGATCCTTGATGCAACCGATGACTGAGTCGATCCAAGCATTGACGGCACCAGGAAGGAACGCAGTACAAGAATGTAAGAACCCTACTTGCACAATGGCCTCAGAAACCATGTCAACAACAGCCTGAGCCTCGTAGGGAAGGTTGTCGGAGAGAAGATCCTGATGAAAGTAGATGGGGGCTTGCTGAATATTGAAACAGGCAACAAACCCCAGTACAGGGATATATGTTGACTTGTAACGGGCCTCTTTTCTACGTCAAGCCGGAAGGGAAACTAAGAATGAGGAACGCTAATGGACGTTGTTTGTAGAAGGGATAATCAATACACAAAAGTGCGGGTGCAACTAACACTTCTACGAGTCCGGAGAATGCTAGGAATGTGTCGGCTTGACAAAGGTTACGCCCTGCTAAAGATAGACAGAACAATAGGTAACTCCGTCGGTTATAACTTGGAGACTGGTTGATTCGAAGGGAAAAAGGTAAAGACAAAGAAACGAGACGACGGTTCAAAATACGATCTTCGACGGACGAAACACCTCTCGACGGGCGATACGACTAGACCTCTCGATGGATCTTATACGACAACGACGGACGACAAGACCACTCGACGGGCCAAACAATACGACACGAAACGAGGACGACGATGCGACTTAGACGATTCAAACAATCAAATATACGATTCAAAGACTTTCTATTTCTCGACGATTCACGGAACTTGTTACAGAAACCGGGCAATGCTCTAGATAGGATACAAAGCTGCTTTCAATGCTAATGCGTGTGGGCAGATGTTCCGAACTTTCCTACTAATGTGGGTAGTACTTGCTGAGGAGTCTACCTAATTCCTACGTCCTTATATACTCGTCCAACTAACTATCGTACCAATTACATATCTGCCTGTTTATTCTATGTTTCCGTAGGAAAGTTGCCCGAAGAGGTAAAATCCTGCCCCGTCGACCAATATTTCCTCCTAATCCAGGCCGTCGGGCCTATTGATTGCGTGCTCAAGAGCTATAGTTCCGCTGACTCATTCTGGCTCAGAGGACTATCTGCACAATCCCAATTCTCTCATTGGTTCTAGCAATTTTCTTGCTCAGTCATCCTATTTTCCGGAACTACATAGTTCCCTAGTGCTCTTTCTACTCACTCATTCTCCTAGGGCTATACCGACCTAGACCTTCACCGCCGTAGTCAACCTCTTCGTTCAACGCTCGCTATGCTTACGCTGCACTTCTGGGATGAAGCTCCCAACGGGCAATGGCCTGTAGTCAAACTAGTTCAGGAGTTCTACAAAGGTGCGTCATGATCGACCCTCTTACGTTCCTGAAAGTCTAATAGTCTAACTTCTATTCTATAGAGATCTACCCTGCTCACCCCGA